GACCGCTCCAACATAGACTTAAATCTATAGGAGATTTGGTCCACCATTTCAGTTAGCTTCTGCTCGTTAACAAGAACGGCTTTTGCATGATCTTGGCTAGCCTTAGATTGGTCTTGTGCAACTCTGGCTAAGTCTTTGGTGATTCTTGTTTGGTCTTACGCAAACCTATATTGTTGTATGGCTATCATATAGATGTTATCCATGATGGGACCATTTGTCATTGTTTGGGCAAACTTTTCCACCATGTCACTTTCATCAAGTGCAAATCGTGAACCTTCAGCTGAAAGTTCACTGGTTTGCAACTCTTCAATCTCAGCAGGGTCTTAGACAGACTTGCCTTACTTTCTTCCACCAGCCATTGAACAACTATCTAGATGTCCCGCCGGGCATACCAACAATGTTCAGCTCGTAGGGAAGTGCCGGTTCCATCTTCCAGATGCATGGAATATGGATAGCGGAATGGAATAGTGTGGTGTACGGGCGGGCTAAGAACTACAGTAGTTCCAAAGTAGAAATCTAAATAGTAATCCAATTGGAAAGTTGTAGGGATCAGGCAATTGTACGAAGGTCTAGAATGACCACCTTCGAAGGGTCTTTTTTGCCTTTGAATAAGGACTTCAAACTATTCTATGGCTAATGGAAATGAAGAAGGTATTGAAGGTGCAAAGCTGTAAATTAAAGTCATTTAAAGTGCAGGACTGAAAATTAGGAAAATTGAAGTACATGACTAGAAATTTAGAGACATGAAAATGCAGTGCTCGGCTGGAAGAAACGGAAAGAGTACTGGACTTAACTCAAGCATTATGAGAATTCATTGTATGGAATGAATGCTATATAGAATAGCAAAGTGTTGGACTCAACTTAAAAGAAATGTAAATTCATTATGGAATGGAAAGTACATGAATAGCAAAGATGCTTAATTGATGTGTTGTGTGCTGGGCAGGTAAGCTTTGCAAACTATCCTTAAATGCTCTATTTATAGAGCTCTTCCATGCATGCAATAGCTGAGATGTGGCAACTTCAGCAACTTCCACATGGACAGATTTCGGATTGCCAAGTGCCCCATGTTCTCTTGGCAGTTGTAACTTCTTCCTTCCATCTTCTCCTCTTTTGTCGCAGACTTCTTCCATCTATATATCTTCTAAGCATGATTCCAGAACACGTTCTCCAAAATTCCCATATTTATGTATACTCCTAGAGTTAAATTTCCACTTGTCCTTTTAATAAGTCAACATTTGTCCTATGATTTCTCATTCTCTTCTTTCAGATACGATTTAGTTGAACTCATCACCCATATTCTCTGACAACTGTTTTAGTTAGTGGTAGCAATTGCATGCAATACCGCCACTTTCAACTGATATACCTTTGTTTTGCCAAGTGTCCCACGATCCTTGTAATCCCTTCTTTCTTTAGAGTCCTTCTCTCCCCCTAATTCCATATACCATGCACATATATGGAAGTTATTTTAAGATCCACGTTTCCCTCATTTGACTGAACTTTCCTACTTAAGTCTTCCATAAACATCGTGGCCTCCTAAATTTCAGCGTCTTCCTCACGTCGTGGGTTGGCATCCTTAATTCCTGTAACTTCCCTTCTTCTACTACAATTCCATATATATCATATATAAGGATGTTACTTGTAGACCCACGTTCCCTTATTCTTTGGATAACTTCCTTCCAGTTGGGCTTTCCTGTTTGGTTTCATGGCGTCATGCTCTCTGAATATCAGCGACTTCTTTACATCGTGGGTTTAATCGGATACATATATATATATATATATATATATATATATATATATATATATATATATATAATAGATTAAACCCTATGCCTGGCTTAATTTTAGCAACGAAGTTTGACTAGGTTTAGACAACCCGCTGAAGATTCCTAAAAAGAAGGAGAAAATATAAGCGTTCACATTCTCCTTTTCTGACTTGGTCAACTTTACAAATTTTGGTAACTCTTCAAGGGTTTTGAAGATATGTGATTTGCCCACAAAATTCACCCATTAATTCTTTAAAAGAAATAGTATCTTATGGTAAGTTCCATAAAACTCGCCATGTGTCGAGAGCTAATTGGTTGAATTTATCTTGAATAATTGCATGAGATTGCATATATGGTAGTATTTCCATAGAATAATTCATTCATTACAAATAGGAATTTGTAGGCCATCACTTTAAAGATGGCAAGTCATAATAGGACTCACCTCTTTTCTTTTAGGATAGAAAACTCTATATGGTAGGATTGTACTGGCCTACTTGTCTTTGATTGCTACGTAAAATTAAATAGCTTTACTACTCCAATAATAACTTATTAGAGTTGCGATCCAGCATGGTAAGTTCCATTGGAACTCGCCACATATCGCTTTTCCATTGGGCCAAAAATAATGGAGTAAACAGTTTTTGTGCAATATGCAAAAGATAACTAACTAATAAATAAAAATCTATCAGCACCAACAAATAATTATGTGTGCCTGCGTGCAATGTACATATTCAATATTATTAGGAAAAAAAAAAATTCAAATAGAGTAAGCTAGAAGAAGAAGAAGAAGAAAAAAAAAAAAAGAATAATTATATGAAGTTGGTGTATTGTAATTGTGAAGTCCATGAGCTTAGAATTTGATTTCCAAGTACTAATAGGCTTTTATTTTTGGGTCATATTTGTCCAAGTACAACGGGCTTTTATTTTTGGGCCATGTTCAAATTTTGAGGCCCCCCAAATTTGGTGGGCCAAGCTAGGTTGGCCCTGTATGTACACGCCAAACAAAAGCTTGGACTATTTTATTTTTTGGTGTAGTTCTGTTCACCTTTTTTCTTATTAGACCAATTTCATACGGCGTTTATGATTTATGCAACAGAGTCCTCCGCCTATTTTTAAAATGATAACTGATGTAAAGCTTATATGGATGGAAATGTCATGCAGATCAAAATAAAAGACTAGAACTTCCATGGCAAAAGCGATTTGAAATGGCAATGGGCATATCAAAGGTACTTCTCTACCTTCACCAGGACTCAAGATTAAGAATCATTCATAGGGATCTCAAAGCCAGCAACATTTTACTAAATGATGAACGTCCCAAGATTTCAGACTTTGGGACAGTAAGAAGTTTTGGGAGAGATGAAATTGAAGCCAAAACAAAGTGAGTAATCAGAACATAGTTTGGCTCTATTCCATCTCCATTGAATTCTCGGCGAATCCTGACACGCCTGCACCTTCCACTTGAAACGGACGGAATTTTTGTGGTCAAACAACATGGATTGTTTCATTTTTGAAATCAATTTTCCTGAAAAGTTAGCTTTGATTGCTGCTATTCACCCATTGCAGAGAATTAGACAGTGAGAAAGTGGTTGGGGTTGACATATTATTCTCACATCAAATTGACTATTCAACTGGAGGATTTTCTTATTTGTTTTAGAGTTAATATTAAGAATTAAATTAACTTTGTGTCTAGAAGATAAACCTACCTTCCTGAAAATATGATGGAATTAACCCTACAAGCGGAGTTATCGTGGAATGGTAAATGTGTGCCTCAGCATTCCATGTTCCAAGTCCCTACCGGTGTAATTATTGGTGTAATTTCTGATGAGACAGTGAATGTGTGTTATTTACTATCATAATATCTTTTTTATAATAATAAATAGTGAAATCTCTTCTCTTCATGGACATAGGTCAGGTGGAACCGACCTCTGTAAAATATTGTTTTTGCTTGTGTATTTGTATTTTTCTTGTTGTGTGGTGTTCGAATCTTCATTTTGTTTGTCTTGTTTACGTTATTGGAATGAATGAGGGATTAAGACCAATTACCTAACAATAAAGACCAATTAGTTTTTCTATAATTATCAGGTTGCTTGTTGGCTGATAAGGTTCCTTGTTTATTATATACTACTTCTGTGGATATGTTATGAAGCATTGTGTATGAAAATTTTGGCACATAAATTCCTCCCAAGTGTTTTCAATTACTTAAATTCCATGTCACCCAATTCTATGGATATCCACCTCCTATCATTAAGGTATTCAGACTTGATACCAAGTTCAAGGAGTCTAATCATCAGAAGGGTCCTCTTTGGGATGAAATCTCTAGGTATACATACATGCATATATATATATATATATATATATATATATATATATATATATACCCCCACCTCATGAAGTGTATATGTGTTAGGTGGTGAAGAACTGAGTTGTTTGATCAGTTCCTAGAAAATTGAAGCAATACCCATTACTAGTTGGCTTAATTTGTGGTAGGAGAATATGAGTTATCGGTGGGCTTTCTTGCTCGTTTTCTGGAATATACTTGAGCCCAATTTATGTTTTTCACTAATTTTGTGCTAGAAATTATAACATTGAAGTAGGGTGGCAAATTGGTTCATGAGTAGTGACCTACTAATCTGTTCATATTCGATCATTTAAAATGAACTTGTATTAACTATTTTAAAATATGAATCAAAATAAGTTATCCATATTCAACATATTTTTATAAAGGATTAAACTGATTAAATATGGGTATATATTTCACCCATTAAATTTGACCTAAATTCATCTATTTTCTCTCTAATTTTCTTTCATTTGATTCCAAAATCTTTCTCCACTTCTAAAATTCTCTCTCTAAAATTCTCTCTCTCATCCTCTTTCTCCCTCTAAAATTCACTTTGTGGGTGTAGTGGTTCCATGCCCATCACCCAATTGAATACGTGTAGTACTATTTCTATACGCGGAGTAATAGATAGAGAAATAGTACTACACGTGATGTGATCACCATTTTCTTACTAGACTAAATTGAAACCTGCCGTCAATTTGTCAACCAATTCCCATGGCTTAAATTTAATTCCGTCAGAAAGGTAGGTCATCTTCTAGAAACAATGTTGACCTGAATTCTTAATTCTAAAACAAATACTCCCTCCCTCACAATTATCTATGTGAACAACTTTTATGATACAGAAGGAATAAATAAGGGAAAATTACATATAAATGGATTCAAAGTTTCATATTTACTTAGAGACTGAGTCAAAGTTTCATATTTCTCTAAAATGGATTGCTGAGGTGGTACATGATTTTTTACTGTTTAAAAAATTGTGGTGCCTAAAATGCCCTTCCCTAATAAAAAAGTAGTACCTTCAGTTCAAAAAAGTAGTACCTTCAGTTCAAAAAAGTAGTACCTTCGGAGAAAAAGTAGTACCTTCGCGAGTGTTTAAAAAACATGGTACCTGGACGCCAAAAAGTAGTACCTTCAGTTCAAAAAAGTAGTACCTTCGAAGAAAAAGTAGTACCTTCGCGGAAGGGTATTTTAGGCATCACAATTTCTAAACAGTAAAAAACCATGTGCCACCTCAGCAATCCATTTTAGAGAAATATGGAACTTTGACTCAGCCTCTAAGTAAATATGGAACTTTAACTCCATTTATATGTAATTTTCCCAATAAATAATTCCTCTAATTGTATATGTATATTTAATTTAATGTGAAATGGCAAAGTAATCTCTCCAATAAAAAAAAAATAAAATTAAAAATGAGAATATGTCAACCCTCTTCTCACAAGAATGTGATTTCAAAAATAAAATATTCCATATACATACATTACAATCTTTCTTCTTCTTTTTCCCCTTCTTGTACACCAATATGTAATAGTCACAAATTCTATCTGGCAAAAAAAAAAAAAAAAAACCTTCTATCTGGCTTCCATTGTTGTTACTGTCAATTCATTTTCAGTATGACAACTCTCACCTGTTGATGTCTCTGCATCAATGGAACTTCTTTCTACAAAGAAACCAGGTTGTTTGGGTTGAAGCAATGCTACACCTTCATTACCCAACATGAAAACAATTGATGACATTGTTGGTCTGTCTTTGGGCAATTTCTGAACACATAGTAGTCCCACTTGAATACATCTTAGTACTTGAGATTCAATGTATGAATTTTCCAAACATGTATCCACTAGTTCCAGGGCTTTTTGTTCATTCCACAGCAACCAAGCCTATAACAATCACAATCCTCAAACTTGGTAATTCACATAAAAAGCTAGAGAGAAAAATGAAATAAAATAAGAATATAATATAACATATTTCACCATAGATATTTACATGTCCCAAAAGCGAATGATAGTGATCAGGATGATGAAATCTCCTGTTCCTCTTGCCACTCACTATCTCCAGTAAAAGCACACCTAAACTAAATACATCAGATTTTACTGAAAATTTTCCATCAATGGCATACTCCGGCGACATGTAACCACTGCATAAAATTATCAAATTTAAGCATTTGACAATCTTGAACAAGTACTATATGATAATTGTTTGCAAAACTTACTATGTTCCAATTACTCGCTTTGTTTTGGCTTCAATTTCATCTCTCCCAAAACTTCTTGCTATCCCAAAGTCTGAAATTTTGGGGCTTAGCTCATCATCTAGTAAAATGTTGCTGGCTTTGAGATCCCTATGAATGATTCTTAATCTTGAGTCCTGGTGAAGATAGAGAAGTCCCCTTGATATGCCAATGCAAATTTCAAATCGCTTTTCCCATGCAAGCTCTAGTCTTCTATTCTTATCTGCACAACATTTTTATCCATAAAAGTTCTAAATCAGTTCACTTTTATGATAGAACAGAGGAATCTGCTGCATAGATGCATAAACTACACTATGAAATTGGTCTAATAAAATAAATGGTCAAGAGAACTAGACCAAAAATGAAATAATCCAAGCTTTTGTTCCTCATGTACTCATATACTAGCATCCTCTCTTCTCCTTCAATGCAACTGCCCAATAGCCTAACCAGATTCCGGTGTTGAAGTCTGGAAATCAAAATAACTTCATTTTTGAATTCTTGTACACCTTGTCCAGAATTATTCAAAAGCCTCTTGACTGCTATTTCTTGTCCACTTGTTAGTATACCCTACAATTTTTTGTGAAAATAAGTATTAACATGATGAGATCCACCTTTTTTATTACATATTGAACTAAAGATTTACTTATTAAACCTTATAAACAGGACCAAAACCACCCTCTCCGATCATATTTGTGGAAGAGAAGTTCTTAGTGGCATTTGCAATAGTGGCCAGATCAAAAAATGGTAACTCAATGTCTTCATTCTTAGTTTTCATACCTGCAAAATCAAAATTGTTATAGATGCAACTATATAACTGCTGTCATTCAAATAACCGTCTAGTACACTTAGAAGGAATGAAACCATATAAAATGTTCAAAATGTCCCATCCAAGGCATCACTTGTCTAATATTCATGTGACAATAACTACCTTAAAATGTATAGATAATCATACCAGAGAGAGGAGGTGGTATACCTATTTTCTTTCTCCTCGTCTTAATTATACACCAAGTTAACAAGCTGAGGACAACCACCCCAGAAACTGTTGATACCACTACAATCAGCACCAGTGTCTTCTCCTTCTGATTATGCTCTAAATTTATGACAAAGTTAGTTCATCATTAGTCGTAAACCCTCATTTGTTGGGCATGCCTTCCGAAAAGCATAAATAAAGGAAATTCTAGAAATGAATCCTAAACATTTCATTTCAAGACTGTCACCGTACAATGAAAAGAGATTATTGAAATCTATGTCCTAATATATATAATGAAATGTGACCTATGTGCTGATATTTGAGCAAACAAACTGGTTAAGTATTAGTAAGAGAATTTAAGGGGCTGACATCTAAAAGAGTAATAGCAGAATGTGAATATTATTATATAGTATAGCAACATGTATGCTTACTGAGTTCCGAAGCTGGCATTCGAATGTAGATATCTTGGTCGCCATTTCTGTCACTGAACTCTCGAATATCAACTAAATTGTCAAACCACATCAAACAGCCACTCCCTCCTCCCCTGATATCTGAATTAGCATAAGCTGTACAAGAACAATTCTTCAAGCACTCTGCCTTACACTCCTTAAGGTTCAGACTCTCCTTCAGCCAAAACTCTAACAGGTCTGGCAATTTCACATTTTTGAGTTTCAAAAATCCATCCCCGTTGTGGCAATCCAGTGATGTCCTCCTCACGCATCCGCTGGACCAATCAAGCTGATCCCATTCTTCCTGTGATTTTGGAATGAACCCCTCCAAGCACTCACATATTGGCCTATTGTTAATTCTGCAAATACCGTTGGCACCACAGTGTCCATAACCATCACAAGGATCGTTCTGTACTGTATACATAATAGCCCATTCAGAGCTCCCTTCATTCAGGATGAAGCGTTGAACAATACCAGTTTGATTCAGTGTAAGTCTTGTAAAATACGAGTCATTGCTAGACTCGTAAATATAATACACCTCATCTGCATTGAATATAAAACTATGTTTAAAAACCGTGCTTGACCGCCAACCAGTACCACTAAATCGAACTCCATTCCATGGCCCAGAGCGGAACATCTTCTCTGATGATCCCTTCCAAAGAACAACCTGAGGAATCCCAGTAATTTCAACTCCATAAGTAAAGTCTCCAGGAGATGGGTCAGTGGCATCTCTCCATGATGTCAAGTATCTATTTAGGCCGGTCTTTAAGTTCCATCCGAGCTTCATGCCAGGTAAAAGTGTGTCTGATGGGAAATCAAAGCTTTGCCATATGTAGCTACTTTCTGTATCAGCATCAGTACTCTTCTTTTTGAGGACAAGGTTTCCAGAATTTAGTAGCTGTGCAACGGATGAACTTTGCACAGTTGTTGAAGAATTTGAGGACCAGTTGACATCCTTTGTGGCATTGAATAGCACGAGATTTCCGTCGTTGCTGATAGTTAAATTTCCATATGAATCTGTAATTGGGTTTTCCCTGTTTGCTACCCACACCACAGTTTGTGGAGAAATTTTGTAGTACCATATTCCCAAGAACAGGAGGTTCTTGGAACCACTGGGAGAAAAGAAGCCCAGTTCGAAGCTTTGGCCTGAGGATACTAAACTCTCACCAATGGTGATTGATTGATATGGAGTTAAAGTATCAGCTGCAGTGGAGAATTCTAAGACGGAGAATGAGATTAGTGAGTAAAAGATGATGAAAGGAAAGATATCCATTGCCAATCTCACCCAAGAAATGGTGACTATGTCTTGGCCATCATCAGAACAATATTGGAAATAGCCACATTAGAAACATCCACATTTGTGGGCACTGAAGTCCATGTGGGCCAGGTAAAGGAGTAAAAGAAATTACGAAAAGTCCATGTGGGCCTGACTATGTTTGATCATCTCACACCGTCAGCATTTACTACATTAACTACGGTAATAAGTGGTCATGGATGTATGTGAAAAATGCGTATGAAATGACAACTGTACTCCTGAATTTGATAAGATTTAAAAATAAATAAATAAAATATCTTGCAAATTAAATCACTGTTGTAAGGCTTGAGTAGATAATAGAGGTCCACGGCCAGAACCAGTCCCACCACCAACAGTGAAGACCAGAAACCCTAGAAGCCCACAGTGCAGTTATCTTTAGGCTTTCTTATGTGATCAAAGATACAAATGCACAATCTCTTTACCGATTGTCCATCACCAATCATCAAAAGAAATGTTGGTGCAGCTGATCGCTGGACATTGAAAGACACACTTACACCAATCTCAAGGGCATACTCCATGAAGAAAGCTCACAAACAAAAACAAGCAATACTACAAATTCTGTTCAAAAAGGGGATTGTGACACCTTGTGAGCTAACAAAATTGATGGGTTACGGCGGCAGCGGTGGGTAGTGGAGGTGGTGTTTGTAGGCGGAGACAGTGGAGATGGGTAGACCCTGCTCAACAAAATCAATGGAAGGGGTAAGAGAAAACAAGATTAATTTACAAATTTAGAGAAAACAAGGTATATAGCCATTAGCCTGGAAGGGAAAGGGCAAGGGCAAAACCGTCAAGGAGATTTTGGGTATCATTGTAATTTTAGTATATTACAATTTCTTTTTCTTTTTTATCAGCAAGAAACAAGTCGACCTTCTTTGAAATGCGAGAAAGTGCACTTACTCCCCCAAAAGTTTCATCAAGTTAGAATGAGAAACCCTAAAAATAACACATTGGCTACCACCAAATTTTGAGAGAAGAACCCTCTTTACCTAAATCGAGGAATTGACTGAGAGTAATGATTTTCAATGCACCCCATGAATGGTGCACCGTCACGACCGTCCAAATTCGCGAACACTAACAACGTGCCCGGTGCACTCAGCCGTCAACTACGAATACACACTGGCTTTGACAATGAAATAAGTTGTTTTTCAACTAATAAATTCCATTATTTGAGGTCCCCTTTTATGGGTAGAGAGCGACTCCGCATTTTATTTAGTTGATTCATGATAATCTTAGTTTATTAATTATTATTATTATTATTTTTTAGTGTCATTTGGAACATGAAAGGAGATCTTCAAATCCCAAAAGATAATGTATTATAAGATAATGACAATAAAAAACAACTATGGATATATAATAAATTGAAACCTGCCGTCAATTTCTTAACAAATTCCCACTGCCTAAAGTTGATTCCCATGAATTTTTCATTCTAAAACAAATTAAAAATTCAAGGAAAGTTTTCAAATATGAATAATAAGAGATGAGAATATGCAAAAAAATAAATAAATAAATAAATAAAAACCCTCACACACACAACAAGTGCATTACGATGTCATTCAATTAATGGGTAAAATAATAATTTTGATTGTTATATATATTTCTTTTGTTTTGGCAAGAAATTTCACGCACCACTCACAAATCTACTTTACTCATTTGGAGACTTGAATTATTACCACCCACTTCTAAAAATAAAGGAGATATTATTAAAGCTCTCAATATTTGTCACATATATTTCACACAGCAAGTTATTGTATATTCCGTTAGTTTAGGGATATTTTACAATTCAAGGGTTATTTACAGACTGGTAATATAGTTCGGAGAGTTGTATAACTTATATGCAATTTACTTTTATTAGCAAATATATATATATACATATATATAATATTTTTTTTATTAGTAAGAAACACACACCCAATTCAGACACTCACTTTTATATATATATTGTGAAGAAATAATTCAATTAATCAAATCTAATAATTTTTTCTTTATAAATACTTTACGATTTTGAAAGAGAGAATTTTAAATCACAACATAGATTAGAAGACATGTTCGGCAAATTCAAACATTCATAATGGAAAAAAGTAAGAAGGTTATCGTGATTTAAGATAATCGTATAATAAATTAATCTCAATAGTTTGAAAAAAAAAAAAAAAAAAAAAAAAAAAAAAAAAAAAAAACAGATAATATTGTCATTCATATAAACAACAGGGCACCAAGGGTTGGATTGTGAGATTTCGAATCTTTAAAGAAACAAAGTAAATATGTGAATAGTTTGGGTGAGTTTCTTATAAATGGGAAAAAAATAAACATCAAGGCTAACATTAATTTTGATGCAAGTAATTAGATTCAGCCCGTGAAGATCCATTCTCACGGCCTTTGGGCTTTGGTAGAGCGATAAGTTGTTTTTCAACCATAGCCCATTCCTCTAACAACAAAGCCAGGCCCATTTTCCAAAGCCACTCTTTTTTCTCTCACACTCACTCTTTATGTTTAAAAGACAAGGAGATCGAGGTGCTTTCTAATGGAAGTATGAAAATGGTTGAGGTCTACAGAGACACCTCTGTCGAGTGGAAGCCATCCCACACCAGAGCGGACAGACTCTCAAATCATCGCGGTTGGCTGGCACTACCAATTGGTACTTTTTTTTATTTTTTTCAATTAGCAGACTCAGTAGTTCTACTCACATTATTTACTTAATGATTTATGTTGTTTTTTGGTTGGCGACATTGATTAATTGTTGGCTTAGAATATACATGGAAACACCAATTCAGAGTTTCGTCCCTATTATATTGAAATTGATTATTTTGCTGGTTCATTACTATAGATTTCGTTGTGATTGCTGCCTTGAAAATAGTCTAACATTTTAATTTTGTGTTAATTCTGGAATTACTAAATAAATTGATCCGTAGCAGACCTTTCTTTCATATGTTTCTTTTCTTTTCTTTTCTTGATCTTCCATGTTATATATATATATATATATATATATATATATATATATATATATACTAGAAAATCGTACATGCAATTGCACGTAATTAAAACTAATATGTATAATGATAAAATTAAAATTAAAAAAAAAAAAAAAAACAAATATGTATATATAAATAAATAAATTAAAATGAATGAGTTGTATCATTACAAAAGTATTGCATATAAAGTTAATTAAGAAATAACGAGGTGGTACAATATACAATATATACATAGTCAACAAAATAAAAATAAAAATTCATAAATTTGTTGTCAAAGCATGCAAAAAAAAAAAGGAATTTTTTTCCCCCTCAAATACACATATTCACACTGCCCTTTCTTTATTAAACCAATACAATCTTTCAAAAATAGTTGGTTTCTCAGTGTTTAGGATTTACACAATTTCAAGCAAATTAAACTAATCATGTGATATGTGTTCTACGTGACCACATAAAAAAATAATATATTTTTTACTTTAACATAAAATGAATCAAATATTATGAGAAATACCAATTGATGTGACTTTAGAAGAATGAATTTGGTAGTGCCTCCTTGAGAGATTGACCGTTTCCTTTTTAAGTGGAGGTTTGTTTCAAACTTTTTAAATATTGTTACTGAAGGTTTAAATTTGCAACCTAGCTCACATACAATATTAAGAAAAATAGATGTATCCGTGTCAACTAAACTATGATCACTAATACTCTCTTAATTTGCTGCTAAGAAGACTTAAGAAAAGTCATGAATTAGAATTTTATACATTAACTTTTTTTAAAAAAAATGTATGGCCTTTCTAGAGATTCTATTGATTGTAGGTTCTTAATAAAAAGATAAGAAACATAAGGAAAAACGAAACAGAATAGGAACAAATTAAATTTGCAACCCAGTTTACATATGATATCAAGAAAAATAAATTAAATAATGTCTCTGTGTGAACTAAACCTTGAACACTAATAATCTGTTTGGTTATTCAAAAGATCAAGTCGAAAAAAGATGGATTTGAAGTTTTCTAACCTTCCAAAAAATTAGAGGTTTGAGAAATTTGATGCACAAAGAAATGCTGTTTCTTCGTGAAAATGTTGCATTACTTGTCACTGCACTTGCAAGGCTGAGTAGGGCTATGAGGAGATAATTTTGAATTCCCATTACAATTACAGTTTACTTTTTGGTATGATACCAATGTTAGCTCAGTTGCGAGTAAAGGGAAGCACAAGCTGTGCTTTATAGAGAGCAGCACAAGCTAGGATGGAAAAGATGATCTCATGATCTTGTTACATCTAATAGTAGAAAATATAAAATATATTAAGTTGTGTTTTTATATAAAATCTACATGTCTAACTGAATGGTATAGGCTGCTGACAGATCGAACCTCATCCATGATGGAATTGACAGAGGCACTCCAAAAAGGGAACCATGGAATCTAAGCTTTCTATGGAGTTAACATAAAACTGACCCTTCTAGTATGTTTTGATAATGTAAAAAAACTATGAGAGATTTCCATAAAGAGGGAAAAGCCACAGCTTACTGCTTACACTATTAAAAAACGGACCCATATGAGCAGTCTTATTCATATTCATTGATAAGGGATGATGAGTAAGCTCTGAAGAACCTACTAATGTTCTAAGAGAAATAGAGCTTGTAAAGTTTGACTTTTAGAGAGTCATTTGTGACTCCTTGCTTCCCTGGCTTATCAGGAGAAGGCATAAAGAGCAATCGCTCTAGACAGCGCATTTAATTTCTGAAGACCATACAATGATGATGATATATTTTTTTTTCTAATTACTTGCTTTTATGCATTCTATATATACATTGAAATAAAGTATGAAAGTGGTTTTAATGTTAAGGAAAAATAAATTATTCAAGACCTTAATAAATACTTTAATTAATATTTAATGCAAAAAAAAAAAAAAAAAAAAATTACACATAAGTTAACATAATAGAAGAATTTTTATTAACTAAAAGCGAGATATATTTTTTTCACTCACTTGTAAATTTTCTCCCCCCTTTTATTTGAAATTAGCATTGTATTTTGTTCAACTTGCATACGTCCATGATATAAACATAATTAGGTTAGTATTTAAAAAAATAATAGATTTACGGTTCATGCATATAATGAGATTGACGAAACTTCCGTGTCTCATTCACATAATAAGTAAGCATAAAGTAATTTAAGATAATTGATGAAAATTCTAGGGAAAAAATGCCAAAGTTAATCATTAATGATATGGAAAAGAAAATGATAAGTGGAAATTAGGAAAATGAAATCAGAACTCTTAGAAATAAAAATAGGTATAAATTTGTATCACTTAAGTAGTGTATTAAATGACTCACAAAATAAAAAAAATTAGGAATAAATTTGTTGATTGAAATGAGGTATGATACTTTTTAAGAATAAAAATAAATGGCTAATTTTGGAAAAGAGTGACAAAAGAAAATAGAGAAAGAAAAAGTGTCAATAAAAAAAATAAAAAAATAAAAAAATAAAAAAAATAAAAAAACATGA